CCCTGCCCCGCCGCGCCCCGCCACGCTTGGCTGACTCCGGCGAGCGAGCTGCGCGAGTGCATGGGGGTCCGTACTGGGGCGCCAAACTAGTTCGGGGACCGCGGACTCATGCAAAAGGATATACAAAAAGAAAAAAGAAAAACAGAAAAAAAACGCTTAGTCAAAAGTTTGATACGCTTTCTGACTTTTGCACTCTGTGAGACTCTTGACGTTTATTCGGAAAGTACAATATTTGAATAAGCCCTTCCTTCAACTACATTTGGGGAAAGGGTTGACTCAAATGGCGGAGGCATAAAGAAAACAAACACAATGCAAACGGACGTTTTTTTCCTCCTCCCTCCAGGCGGCCCTTCATAATGGCGGGAGAGAGGCTGCTGACGTCCGCGAGGGCGCGGGCTATCGGTGAGCCGGGGGGCCGCCTGCCTACACTGCGAGGCACAACTGTGTCAACAGATGCGGAGCACAGAGGCGCGCGTTGTCCTTTCGGCGCGGCGCTCCCCGGGCCCCCCGGGCCCCACCTGGTGTCTCGCCAGTCTCTGTCTCTCTCTCAGACGCCACGACTTGACGCGGCGTGACGCTCGAACACGGCCCCCGGACGCCACCGCCCGCAGATAAGGGGAGGCGTCTTACCCGTCTGGCAGGGACATCATTGGTGCCGGCATGCACGAGCTGCGTGCACCGTAAAAGATGTAAACATGTTGTGGCGGACGCACTTTAGAGGAAAAGACGAGGGTAAAACACTAAACAGACACACGTCAATGTTTTGTATTGTAGCAGCCGATAACAGCCAAGTCGAGATAGTAAAACGCTAGATTTCCCTGTTGTGATTGTTAACTCTGCTCCACATCGTCGTCCGAGGATCCAGGGCGGGGCGACGTTGGGGCCTTAACCAGCTCAATGCCGTCGTCAACGTCGGGCACCGCGTCGACGTCGGGCGCCGCGTTGATATCGGGGGCGACCTGCTCTGCATCGTTGGAGGTGGGGCTCTGGCCGCCGGGTTCAACCTCCATCATGGAGGTGCCCCCGTCGCGAGACCCGAGCCTCTCCAGGAAGCCGTCGACGACGTCGATGGCGTCCTTCTCCGCGGTGGAGGACGCCCGCCGCCACAGCTCTTCGATGTCGGCCTCGTCCTGCGAAGCCTCGGAGTCACCGCCATCCTCGCCGCCGAGGCGTTCGCCGACGGCGTCCTGCTCGCCGGGCGGCGCGGGCGGTCCCGCCGCCATGAGCTCCTCCTCCGAGGGGATGGCCGGGATGGCCCTCATGTCGGCGCACAGGAAGCCGGGACCCGCCGGCGCCACCGAGTCCAGCGACGCGCTGCGGCGCTGCAGCGGGTTCGGGTGGCGCACCACCACGGCGCCGTCCTCCACGGCGGCCAGCTGCTCCCGCACCGCCTCGCGCCGCACCGCCAGCGACCGCGCCGTGCTGCTGCCCACGCCGGACTCCTCGCGGACCGCGGGCGGCCTCCCGCCCAGGAACATCGGGTACCTGCACATCAAGCGCATCGGTGTGGGTGGAGAGGCAATCGCAACAGTGGTTACAGTGGTTTACAGAGGAAAAACACAAGTGAAACAGTCTATGAAAATTTTGTGTAGTAGACGTGCTGTAATGCAACCGAATTTTGGAATTACCACTTTCTTATTTGAAATTTTTACTAATAAGTACGAAAGAAATTTTTGTGAGAAATGAAAGTCATACTACTATAAACGAGTTTGAAGTGCTGACACGACGCGGCGAGACTTACTTGAGCGCAGTGACGCAGGCGGGGGGCCAGGGCCCTGGGGGCGGCGGCACCGGCTCGGGCGCGCAGCCCGCGTGGTAGGCGGACGGCCCCGGCGCGGTGGGCGCGTCGCGAGCCGACCCCGGCCGCACCAGCGGCGGCAGGGGGCCCTTCTGCCGGAGGCGCATGGCCTCGGCGAGGAGCGCGTCGCGCCGCGCCGTCAGGGTCCTGAGCAGCGACTGCAGCGCGGAGATGTCCTCGTCGAACGGCCCCTCCTCCGCGTCCACCACCTCCAGGCTCCTGTCCTGGCGCGCGACGGCGGCGCGCAGCCTGTTGCGCTCGCCGAGCAGCACGAGCAGCAGGTTCTGCCGCTCCGTGTTCTGCTCGATGGCGCGCTTGAACTCGTCGAACTTGGCGCGCACGTCGGCGCGGATCGTGTCGATGAGGCCGAGGAACTCGTTGCGGATCTCGTCCGCGGAGCTGCGCAGGTCCCAGATGAAGCGCTTGAGCAGCGCCTGCTCCAGCTCCGTCATGTCGACGACGCAGCCGAACTTGCGGTACTGGGCCTCCTCGATCTGCTCCCGCAGCGACTTGAGGCGGTCCCGCATGAAGCGCACGTCCACCACCATGCGGTGCAGGTGAGTGCGGTTCTTCCTGCGGTGGAGAAAAAAACGAATATTAGTAACGTTCGAAGCCGCAAAGCGTTTGATGATCAAATGTTTCTTTTCATTTCTTCCGAACTTGTGTTTGGCGCGTTGTGCCTTCGCCTCGTCGTCCAGTTGCTGCTTCCGTCGGTCCAGGTCGGCGAGCACGGCCGTGTTGAACACCAGGGTGTTCTTGAGCAGCTCGAAGTGGGGCATCTTGGCGTTGGGCTTGGTCTGGGCGCCGGCCTTGGAGTGCTGCAGCTGACTGAGCTTGAGCACGACGAGGGTCTCCACCTCGTTGAGCTTCTGCTGTTTCTCACGCCGAAACTCCTCGAGGGCCGTTTGATTCTTTTGACGGTCCTCGTCGGCCTTTATCAGACGCTTGGCGGCCGTCTCCTGCTCCCGGCGCAGGTGTTCCACGTCCTTCTGCAGGTCTACAACGTCTTTCTCCGTCTCGTGCCTGTGCAGAACCGAGATCATCGAGTGTGTTATCCCACTTTGTGGTGATTGTTGCGCTAGGGACCGCACACACCTTTTTGTACGATAAACAATATCGACAGACAGGCAATTGACAAATCTTTTATTGTGACTCTTTTGACAAGTACCGTGTGTCAGGGCCACGACCCAACCGTGTTGCGGGTTTGCTGAGGTTTGCATTCCCTGGGGCTATGGCACCTTAGGGATCCTCCAGAAAGTACGTCAGACAATCGCTGTTGCAAAACTGCCCAGTTCCTCCTGGTTCCGCCGATGTAAGCTTTCGTAGCCCCTGACAGATAGGCAAATTTTGCCTGCAGCGCATGCGTGTACTGCGGGGTGGCCTATCCCGAGTGTCGCAGGCGTCAAGCTTCCATAATTTGAGGAATTTCAGAAAAGCGGACTCACTTTCTTTGATGGTTCCTTGCGAGTGGGAAAATCTGCATGTCGTCGTGTCGTGGCCGTGGCCTAGGTCGTGGCCCTGACACTCGGTTACATAGACCCAGTGACAACTCATTCATTAATTAGTGACAACTGTCGACTGTTCGATGAAAATTCATAATAAAAGTCACTCTACATAACATTTCTGAACCGATCAGAGGTGGAAACTCGTCGGATGATGGCAAATACTTTTACAGTGTCGTACACTACCTCTGAGCGCGCAGTCGGAGTGTGAGGTCGAACATCTCTTGGGAGCACCCGGGAGGGCACGCCGTGTCGTCGTAGCGCACGGGTCCCAGCTCGTTGGAGTCCAGGCTTGCGCCTTCGTCCTCGTCGTCGTCCTCGCTGGAGGACGAGGACGACGACGTCTCGTCGCTGGAATCAGCTGCACACAAATGATTATCGTTTCAGAGGTCCTCAAACTAATGGTATGTATATTCACTAAATAATTTTTATTTTACCGTCAGACGCTTTCGGCGGCTTGTACTTCTTCTTGAATATCTTCTTGAGGTAGTCTACGAACGGGTTGTCACCCACAGCCTCGACGAAGGCAAGCTGCAGTTCCTTCTCCTTCTCTTGGCAGCGCACAATGTCGCGCGCCTTGGCGTCGAGCTTGTTCTGGATGGTGTTGATCTCGTTCTGCACCGCCCGCCAGGCCATGTCCTTGTCGGTCACCCGGGCCGTGAGCGACTCCTCCCGCTCCTCACAGGCCTTGATGATGACGAGCTCCTGGTGCAGCACGAGCAGGTGGTGGCGCAGCAGGGTGGCGTCGCGCTGCACCTCGAGGCGGCGGGCCGCGAGCGCGCCCACGGCCGCGTCCACCGCGTCCACGTCGCGGTCCATCTGGTCGACGAGGCAGCGCTGCTCCCACACCATCCTGACGAGGCGCTGGGCGCGCATCTCGTCCTCCCAGGCGGTGTTGACGGCGTCGTCCTGCCCCAGTGCGCGCAGCGTGTTCATGTCCATCTCCGAGTCCACGCGCTGCAGCTCGGAAGCGCTGCTGCCGGCAGCAGTGGCGCCCCCCGTCAGCGCCTCCACCAGCTTGGGCAGGGACTCGTGCTCGCCGATCTAAGACAACCGGATCGTCAGCTTGGATTCCCTACCTTCCTCCACGCCGTCTTCCACCCTCAACCACCTCTAGCACGGCGTCCCTCGGCCCGCGCAGCACCTCCAGCTCCGCGTCCACTGCGTGCGGAACGATCTCCATGATCGACTTGAAGCCCCTGCCCTGGCGGCGGGATGGTGCGGCGCGGTCCATCTCCGCCTCGATCTCCTCCTCCGAGATCTGTGAGGTGAGGAGAGGTCAATGGTGTGACATTTTTACTGGCAGGTCAAGCAAGCAACGCCAGAATGTCGGCGGGCTGCTGTTTCAGCACTCGTACTCAGGGGTCAACACAACAGTAGTGCGCCTTTAGGGGGCATCCAGAATGCACTCTCAGGTTCATTTGGTAAGCCAGCGAGACCTAGGGTAGGCCACCGCGCAGTACACGCATGCACTGCAGGCAAGATGTTGCCTATCCACCCTACCAAGCGCTATGATAACTCATAGGGGCTGAACCTGGCTGGTTTGTGACGGGCCACCTTGTATTTAATTACTTCTAAGGTTTCTATTTCTTTTACGGATGCCCTTTCAGAGATTAGAACATGTCCTGGCCCTGGCGTACGTACCTCGTATTGGCGTTCCGGGTACTCGGCTATGAGGTCCAGCTGCGGCGGCTCCGGGGCGTCGACGCGGAGGTGAGGTGGCAGCTCCCGGTGGATCCTGGCGAGCTGCGCCGCCTGGGCGGTCATGCGCTCGCGGAGGTCGGCCTTGCGCTGCCGGAGAGCCACCACCTCCGCGTTGAACGAGCCCACCAGGTCGTCCAGCTGCTTGCGCACCTGCAGCAGCTGCTGGTACTTGATGACGGTGGTGACGACCTGGTGCGCGGGCACCTTGTAGTCCTCGTCGGACTTGAGCTTGTAGTCGCCGATGGTCTGCTCGGCCTCGCGGATCAGCTCCTCGTCGCGGGGGTCCGTTCTGTCCATGTTGGGCTGCTTGCGCATAAACTGGGCCCACTGGAAGGGCCGAGGGGGATTTGTAAGTTTCTTCGAGACGCTTTAACGCCGCTTTGCTCAGCCGGCACCTCCGCTTACCTCCACCTGCCTGCGCTCCCTCTTGTACTTGCGCGAGTGGTACTTGTCCAGCAGGCGGCGCAGCCGCGCGTTGAACTTGTGCTCGAAGGCGGAGAGTCCCCTCAGGAAGGACTCGACGGGCACGGGAGCCAGGACGATCTCCTCCTCCGACTCCTGAAGGGTCATCTCCCGCTCCACCGTCCTGCGAGAGAGAGAGAAAGATCGTGTGTTGTCGGTGTGGTGGGATACAATCGCCAGTACAGAATACAACCGTTGTTTTTTCACAGTTCAGAATGCCCGTCACGCAGATGAGGCACTCATTCCAAAGTTAGTTGTCCGATATAAGCTTTCTGTGTGTCGACTGGAACGTCCGGATGGGAATCAAAGGAGCGGACAGAGGAAGGAAGGGGAGAAAGAGGATGCTGCTGCGTCTGCACATGATATGATAGCTGGGCGCATACCGACGCATGGTGGTGCCACTCCGCGCCCGCGCCTGCCCTTGGTCCTGCTCTGTCCTCCTGGTCAGTAAGCCACCTCCCGTCACACGCACCGGACCACCGCGCGCCTCGCGACTCGGCCCCGCACAAGGGTGACTCCTTCTAGAAGCTTATTGTCATCATACTTGGACGCACAACGGTCCGATCCTTCAAAAGCAGCCCCCCGTCACCTTGGTAAGTAATGCAACGTTGTGAAGTCCGTCCATGCGACAAGAGAATTTGATTGTCGTGCGTGCCAATGCTCTTCTTGCAGTCAGCAAGCAAGAACATTTGCGCTCCGACAGGTAAATGTTCTAGCTACAAGATAGGGGTTAATTCGTGTGAGCTTTGGTCAAGTACCCTTGCGGTGCAGACAGGTCATATTACTAGAAGTATGGCAGTCACTTGAGTTGCACTTGGTGAATCGATACCGAGCACGCCACTGCTTTGCGACAGAATTCCCAGTGCGAAATGAAATAACTGTCGATGTCGAAACGATGTCGATATGATATCGCAAGTCGAAATTGTGGACAGGTTTGAGTCGTCAACGATGACTTTAAACTGTGTCTCATTTCGACTTACGACATCAACGACATCGTTTCGATATCTACAAAAAATGCATTTCGCACTGAGTTTCATGCACTATACTCACGTGGCTCAAAGATCGCGGCATGCATACCAGTATGAACTAAACGGCCTCCAAAAGGTTTGCAGGGAATGACCAGTGCAGCTTAGTCACGGTTTGTCAGGGAATGACCAGTGCGGCTTAGTCGGTGATGTGCTTGTGACTTCAGCTCCCCGCCCCCTTCCCATCCGGTTTTCTTTTACGTTTTTTTCATAAACTAACTATTTCGTGCGCATGACACACACCTTTTCCCTATGTGAGAAACGTATTCGTGCAGTGTGGCATGCATGTGGAACACGATTATTGAAGATTGTGCAGTGCAGGACCGAGGGGTGAACAACTCAGCTGAGCCGGGGACAGATGAATATATTACAAAGTAATATTGGGAATGCGAGTAATACAAAAATTACGAGTATTACAGATAATATCAAAGTATTACAAGTATTATAAGGTAATACAAGGTATTACGATGAATTACAAGATATATTACAAAGGTATTACGAAGTATTACAAGGTATTACAAGGTATTACAGGTATTACGAGTAATACAAGTAATACAAGTAATACTTGGTAATACAAATAATACAAAGTATTACAACGTAATACAAGGTAATATTGCGTAATATTGCGCAAGTAATATATGGTAATACAAGGTAATACAAAATAATACAAGGTAATACAAAATAATACAAGGTAATACAAAATAATACAAGGTAATACATGGTAATACATGGTAATACATGGTAATACAAGGTAATACACGGAATACAAGTAATACCAGGTACTACAAAGTAATACAGGACCCCGGGACAGAGGAATACACGAGATGTTCACCCCTCGTGCAGGACAATAATGATCCGGTGGTTGTAAATACAGATGCTCTGATTAGTTACTGTACCTCTGAGACGCCATTCGAACGAGTTTTGCCTTTTCTGTGATGCCGCCGAAACAAGAACACATTTGTTTGGTTGAGTTATGATTTTTCCGCATAGCAATCCCTTTTGTACCGGCCGAACCTATCGGCAGGCACAAAGGGTCTTGTTTTCCTCATTTAATACCTCATCTACCTGCCTCTCTGCAGCGCCTCTTCCTGTTTGAGCTGGACCAGCGCACATGCCGCGGCAAATTCCCCCTTCAGCTTCCTCTGGCGTACCGTCTCCACGTAAGTGTCCGGTTTCCTGGAAAAAACATGGAAATAGTTAGTTAGTTCTCGCAGAACAAAACGGGCATGGGGTCGTACACAGGAGAGGTGTTCGACACCCGCACCAGCAATAGGATGGCCAGAGATAATCGCGGTAAAAACAATGTCTGCCTTTTGAAGGAGAAGTGTTTTCTTCACATTTTGGGAGTTTCTCAACGTTTTCAGACATTGTTTTTACCGTTAAGAAGGGGGTCAGAAGATCAGGCACGGTTTAAGGACCTGAAAGGTCAGAGTGACCATCTGACCAAGGTGCTTTGTACTAGCAGGTCTCGCAGTCAGCCCGTCTAGCCCCCAGCTTGGACGGACCACTACCATGGAAATACTAGGTGAGTAGAGATGGGCGAACAGGCCAGTTCGAATTTGAACGAACTCGAACAAATTTGGTCCAAAAATATTCGAACGAACACGAACACGAACAAGCATTTTTTTCTTCGAACGAACCGAACCGAACAATGTAATGTTCAAATTCGATCCGAACACGAACTATTATTACCAATTTTTCTTGCTTACGCGTTATAAAAGCTATCCATTCTGGTTTCCAATAGCTTCATTAACGTGTGAACTTGTAGTTATTTATTAAACTGCCACTGCCCCCTCAATTATACCCATTTTTTCGGTTAATTTCTGAAACATATTTCAATTTTGTTCGCCTACGAACTTCTGTTCGAGAAGTGTCCGAACATTTCGAATCCGAACACCTCATGTTCGTGTTCGAGCGATCACGAACAGCTCGATGTTCGTTCGAGTTCGATCGAATGCGAACATGTTCGCCCATCTCTATAGGTGAGTGGAGTAAAAACATTCTCAGCCCCACAGCAGTTTATTCTTTCTTTTCATTCCTCTCTTAATGGAGTATTTGTTAAAAAAATTCTTTCTCGTATAAAAACCCCGAGGCGGCCCTGGTGTTATTGTGCGGTGTGAAGTGAAAAAGACAAAAATAAGTTTGTCGCGGAAGTGTAATCACTGCGCTTTTCGTTCCCAGAACTCTTGCCGACGGCCGCCCTGGAGGAGAGGGTGGCCACACTCCTGAAGAAGTGCGGGCCCTGCATTGGTTGGGCTCCTCCTCGCCGTCGGCCCTCGCTCCAGCAGGCGACGGGCTCTCTGCTGGAGTGCCGCGTCCAGCCGGGCGCGCGCGTAGACCTGGAGGTGACGGTGTCGGCCGTGCCGCCCTCCGAGCAGCCGGAGTTCGTGTACTGGATCAACGAGGAGTGCCGCCAGCGCCGAGGAGCGGACCCGAGCGCCCTGTGCGAGCTCGGCCCGTGCGTGTACTTCAGAGAGCAATTTGCTCTTTTGGAGGAGGCACCCCCTCCTCCACCCTTGACGGTGGGGAGCCCGGTCTTCATCGCCAATCTCAGCGATCGACAAGAGTTCATCAGGACGGCCAGGGTGCTGCTGAGCCGGGTGAGCCGCCTCCCGCCGGAGACGCCCCCCTCGGGCTGCACGCCGCAGTGGCGGGCGGCGCCGCAATGCACCTGCCCCGGAGCGCCGACGCCTTGCCATGCGTCCTGGCTGTCCTTCAGGCTTTTCTACTTGAACTCCTTCCAGTAAGTTCACTCATCCAAACGAGGGCCCGCTCTGTGCTATACAGAGAGTGAGGAGGACGAGGGGACTTTGCCCTCCGGTAGAGACAGTCTTTAAGGGACTGTCTAAAAAATACCTTACGATATCCAACAGGCTCGATTTTAGGGGGGAGGGGGAGGGGCGATGCACACAATAAATCGCCCCTTCCGTCGGCTGGACTTAAAACCACTTCTTATCTAACGATATCTTACGATATCTATCGCTGAGAGAATATCAATGGAATTGATCGGTTACACTGGTAAAACAAGTGTTTAATTTTGCACGTCCAATGACGTTTAAGTTCAAGTGTGCATTTTCTCGACACTTCCGAAACGTATGGCATCTGCACACCGTATGGTTCCCTATTGACAGCATAGAACTGTGTGTGTCCAAGTGTGCAGAATTTAAACGTTTACAAAACGTCTAAAATTTGCACACCATTCAAGTGTGCAACTTGAGTTAAACACCATGTAATGTGCTAAATCACAACTTGCACACGTTTGAAATATTGCACACTTGTTTTACCAGTGTATAGTTTTCTGGAGATGTAAGATATTGTTTAGTGGCGTAATACCGCGTATCACTTCAATAATAACCTTTTAACAATTCCATAGGTTTTTCAACGCCAAATAACATTTACCTATGACTGCGATGCTGACACCCGAGACGTGAAAAAGGCAGAATTGAAGATCTTCCATAGCTTAAATATAACTGCCCTTTCTCGCTCTCATATAAAAATAAATAAGTTAAAATTGAGGAGAAAACTTTGCTTATGCTTTTTGCTTCCACGTTTACCGTTTCCCTCCGCAATATGTAGTGCTTCTTAATGCAAAACAAGTTAACATAATCTTTAGAATAGTAATATCCTTCAAATGCAATAATTTTTTAGAGTACAAGCGGCAAAGTTATGAAATAGACTTCAGCTGGATAACTATTTTGACCAATCAATATTTGTCTTCAAAACAGGAATTGAGGCAATAAATCTGCGACCGTAACCGTAAACCGTTATCATGTTTCTCTGTGCCTGTTGTATTGTGCTAGCTTAAGATACCAACTCTGTACATAGGTAAAAAATTACCTGCTCGAGCAGGTCTACATTTGTAGCGGGACTCTGTACTCCTTTTAATGTTTACAATAAACTCCTCAATCAATCAATCAATCAATCAATCAATCAATCAATCAATCAATCAATCAATCAATCAATCAATCAATCAATCAATCAATCAATCAATCAATCACCGAAAAAGTCGTTCTCTCTCACTCGTAGTAGTGAAATGAGATCAAACATATTCAATATTAACACACTGAGACTCAGCCGCTGTGCGCACCTGACTGCGTAGACCCTGATGCCGTGGCCGGCCACCGCGTCCGTGTAGAAGTCGGCCAGCTTCCTGTACTGGAGGCTGGCCTTCTCCAGCGGGAAGGCCAGCTTGCGCCGCAGCAGGTCCGCCTCCTCCTCCAGGGCCAGCTTGGTGCTCGGCGTGATGCGGGGGTCCAGCTCCAGCTCGGACTGCGGGATGCGCTGTGAGGCGGGAAGCTGGCGGTTCCTTAGGAAGAGCGGCAAAGTCAGGTGGTTAACCACGATATAATTTTGATGTGGCTTAGGCTGAAATATGGCGTTTGTGAACGCATGCGACGACGTGTTGGGTGGTTTCTACACCGAGTCCTTACCACCTGACGATGTTGTTGTACGTGTCCGCGAGCCCCCACAGGGCCTGCTCCGCGCGCTGCAGGTTCTCGGCGGCCACCTTCATCTTGCGGTCCTGCTCCGCCTTGGCGCACTGGTCCTCCAGGGTGGGCACGTCCGCGCCGTACAGCTCCTCGGCGGCGGCGGGCTGCAGCACAACGGTTGCCGTCACTGATGTGCCTTCCCATTGGCTGCCTTGCCGGGTGCGCGTATACTGACCGCCGAGATGGCCGCGGGGGAGGCCAGCGAGGCCGGGGGATCGCCGCCCTCCGGGTGGACGGCGTACATGAACAGGTTGCCGTCCTGGCCCGCAGAGTACAGGGTGCGCGAGTCCGCGGACAGCGCCAGCCCCACCACGGGGCCCTTGTGCATCCCGAGGCTCCAGTAGTCGGAGAGGTCGCCGGGGTCGTCCTTGACGCGCACGCAGCGCACCGCGCCGTCGCCCATGCCCAGGAACAGGTACTTGTTGTTCGTGCTGCGGGGCAGATTTTGGGGGCATAACCGGGCCGCGGAGAGGTACAGCAGCGGGGGAGTCGTTACGGTACGAGGACACCCACTAGTAGAGGAAGGTCGACACCTCCAGGTCGTCGTTGCCCGGCACCGCCACGCACTCGACGGGGTCCTCGTGCCCGAAGCGGTACTTGTACACGTAGCCGGCGTCGAAGCCCGCCACGGCCATCCAGACGGCGTCCTCGTCGTCCTCTGCGTAGCGCACCCACCGCACCGCGCCGAGTTCGCCGGGCACGAACAGGGCGTCGACGTCCTCCTCGGGCTCCGAGTCGGCTGCGGCAAGCGATTGCGATCAGGACGCTCAGCCGGCTCAGCGCCTGGCGGCCCGGGGGTAGGCCGTCCCGCCGCACTCGCATGCCGCGCGGGCCTGCCTAAGGAGGCGACACACGGCGCTACCCCATCCAGGACGACCCGGCCGGCCGGCGCGCGGCGCGGAGTATCGCCCCAGAGAATGGTCCTTTTGGGCGCTCACCCAGGAAGGCCTCCTCGTCGATGTCCAGGCCCGGGTTGTCAAGCCGCACTTTCTCCAGCTGGCGTCTTTTCGCGGCCACTCTCTTGTCCTTTCTTCGCTGCACCTTCTTGAGGTACGCCTCCCTAAGGATGTGATCACAGGGCTGTCAAATACGCTTCCATTTTTTAGAAAGGATCTTAATTTGAAGTGCGAACACGTTTACCTGCGCATTCGTGACTTGACGCTCTTGTACGTCAGCGTCCTGACGCTGGCCTCGTCCTCCTTGTAGCGATAGGACACGCCGCTGTTGTGCGTCGGAGTCTCGCTGACCTGGACCTCGGATACCTGGCCGTGGGCGAGCCCAGCCAGCAGCGTGGAGTTCTGTACGAGGTGGATACAATGGAGACGTCAGTGGACGCTCGTTTTGGTGGGTGAACGAGTCAGCGACGTCCTCACCTGCCCCGGTTTGAACGTGAGGTACGAGACCACGTCCTCCACCAGGACGTAGCCGATGGGTACGAGGCCGGCGAACTGCCCCTTGGCCTCGACGTGGAATAGAAACACATTCAGGTCCGCGCCACCCGACGCGAGCACCTTCCCACTATCGGACAGGGCGAGGGCCGTGGCCGCCTGGGCGTGGGCCTTGGCGACCTGCAGCAGCGTCACGTGGTCCGCCGTGCCGAGCGCGGTGCCGCCGTGCTGCTTGAACTGCTGCTCCGCCGCCGCCAGGTTGACGGCCACGACGCGGAGCACGCCGTCGGCGCACGCCAGCACCAGGACCGATCCGCACGCCGCCACCGAGGCCGGCAGCCAGAGTAGCGCGCTGCCCGCCGCGGGGAAGGCCCTGGCCACGACCAGCCCGAGGCTCCCGGGGCTGTACAAGTGCAGGCGGCCCTCCTTGCCCAGGGTGGCGACGCCGGGCGCGAGCGGCGCCGCGGACACGCCCACCACCCCGCTCGAGTGCGACGTGAAGAGGCGCCTCGGCGCGGGCGCGTCCGCAGACAACGACAGGTCCAGCTGCCAGAGTCCGCCGCCACCGTCCTGGGGGCAGAGAAATCTGTTGAGTTGCTTGGCGGACGCGGGGTCTCTGACGGTTGCTCGAGAGCATGACGGCCGACGGACGCGCTGACCTGGGCGAACCACGTGCTCCCCTGGTCCCCGCCGTGCCTGCGCTGCATGCACATGAGGGCCGCGGGGCCCAGCTCGTCGGCGACCTCGAGCTCGAAGATGGGCTCCACCTCCACGAAGCGGTCGTCGTCCGGGGGGTCGGCCAGGTCGATCGTCTCAAAGTACCACACCTTGACGAAGCCGTCCATGCCTGCACGGCGACACGTATGGGTGAGCCGGCGGGAGGGGGAGGGGGGAGGAGGTTGGGAGGAGCCCACACCCCCGCGAGGCTGTCGCCCCCCGACGATTACCCGCGGGCGGACCCTGGAACACGACGCGCACGGCGGTGGGGCCGTCAGGGCGGCGGTCCCCTCCCCTCTCTCCCCTTCACCGCCCACCACTCACCCAGAGACAGCAGCTCCCCGTTGGAGTACTCGAGCTGGGCGACGGGCGCGCCGTGGCAGCCCTTGCGGCCCTTCTTGGCCACCTCGCACTTGATGAGCCCCGCCTCCCACACGAGGATGTTGCCCCACTCGCAGCCCGACACCACCTTGCCGTCGGGCATGGCCAGCACCCCGATGACGTCCGTCACCTCGGTGTTGCCGAAGCGGCCCTGCGCGCCCTCCAGCTTGAGGCCCGTGAACGTCTCCGCCATCCGCCAGAAGCGGACGTGCGCGCTGCCTGAGGGGGGAGACCACGTCGTGAGCAAAAACAGGGGGGTTCACGTCGTCGTGTCCATACACGAGCACCACCCCGTCAACGCTGACCTGCGGACGTGATGTGGCCGGGCATGTAGCTGGAGAAGGCGGCATGGAACACGTCCTGGCCGGCGGACTTGGCGCGCAGCATGATGCGCGAGGCCTTCCAGTCCCAGACGGTGAAGAAGTTGTCCGGTGACCCGGCCATGGAGCACAGCAGGTCGCCGTCCACACTGGAAAAAGTGGTGGGGGGGGGGGAATGATTACATTGACACACGTCATTGCTGAGATGTAATTCAAGATACTCACCTGTAGTTGAGGAATGTGAATGCCCGCTCAGCGCCCTGCCGCAACAGCGCCACGACCTTCAGGGTCGGCCACTCGTACACGATGATCTTTGGCCGCTTACCCCTCTCCCCTACAGCAAAGTGTGGCTGGACGGGGTTTTTCTATAGGTTCGGATCGAATACAACAGTCGGAAGTGCAAAATAAAACGTCAGTGCCAAATGAAACGTCAATGCAAAAACGTCCTTTCTACACTTTGGCCTTACCGCGATGTGCCCCAGACCGGCACCACCGGCGCTCCTCCTGAACCACATTTTTCTGTCCGAAATGCGGAAAAAGTGGATCAGGTCTCCGGAAATGAAGGCCAGCGTGTCGGGGTCGAGGACGCACAGGTTGGAGTGCAGCTGGCAGTCGTAGCCGAACGAATGTCTGCGGGGGGAGTCAAGGAAATTCTAGGGCGGAAAAAGCGTAACATTTTTTTTAGCGAGCATTCCATGACAATATCCCGGTGCAGAGGAAGGATACTGAAATTCTAGAATATTGGGGGGCACGGTGCTGTTCTCCGACAGCCGTGGCCCCGAGATTAAGTCCTTTTCGTCGTAGGCTTCTTCACCACCCACCGACTCTTCGGTACTTGACGCGGTCACTTCGCTTGCCGAGCTCATCTCATCTCCCTCGTCGTGCAGGCCGGGCGCTCCTGTACCGCCAACAGAGCCCATCCTGCCGTCCGCACTCCTCCGTCTCTCCGCAAGAACATCCTGCCGGCTCGTCTGCTGAAAGGAGGGTGTTCGGGAGACTTGCTGTCGGCTGGTCAGCTGTATGGAAGGTGCTCTGGAGACTTGCTGTCGGCTGGTCTGCTGTAACGAGGGTGCCCCGGAGACTTGCTGTCGGCTGGTCTTCTGTAAGGAGGGTGCCCGGGAGACTTGCTGCCGGCTGGTCTGCTGTAAGGAGGGTGCCCCGGAGACTTGCTGCCGGCTGGGTTGTTGGGACGGCGCCGGTGTGTGTTGTGCTGATGCTGCTGATGCTGCTCCAGGGGCTTCCCCTTCCACCGTCTGGGGATGAGCCTCTCCTTCCCCATCAGCTTCCGTCAGCGGGGTATCTAGGGACACGGGAGGACGGTTTTGTACCAATGGACACGAAAACTTGTCAGCCTTATTAACTAGGGTAAATTTGCTCAAGCGTAATATTCCGAAGGATTCCGTCGGCTTGTACCTGGATCCGACATGTTGGTACGAATTTACAAAGTTCTCTTGAAGCTCTATCACGTCAGTTTTGTTTGTTTACGTCTTGCGCACTTGTCCTGCACCGTTTAAGGGATGAACCGCGTTGTTATAGCAACGAAAAGAGCATCGACGGTTTTCATGTGCTCCACGACTCCGGCAGAAAAGAGATTGCTGTGGTCGAAAGGGGATAATAAAGCTTATTTTGTAATAGTCTACTGTGTGGCACCGAAGAAAGAAGCGATGAGCTTTCCGCCTTGAAAATGAGGCTGTGAAAGCAAAATTTTGCCGTTTAAAACCAGCGGGTGGGATATTGTTCATTTTCAAAGATGCCTCAACTGGCTAGCAGACGTGTGAGGTAGCGGCTTGCCATTTTCAAAACATTGAGAAATAGAGGTAAGAAACTTGTTTCTTTACATTTACTGTGCCACGTATAGTTTTCATTACAAATAAAGCTACAAATACTGAATCTTAGTACACTTTAATTTATGGTATTTACCTGTTTATGTTTTATCAACTGTGCTTTTGTTGTATATTTTTCAAACGGAAAGGTTATGTGCAAACTTGTAGTTGACAGTGACAGCCTAAGGAAATATTCCTAGGAAATGCATTTAGCTTTGGTTCCAAATTAATTTAATTTGATTCTGCTGGCGTTGAGCTACCAATTTCACCTACGAATTTTAATTTTTGTTCCAGAACCAATAACGGCAGTCAATATGCATGTGGGAGGGCATGGTAATGCCAATCCAAACACCACTTGGCTGAAAAGCCGTGGAATGTGGGTTTCATACATTCTTGGAATGCTTATTCTTCATCTAATCATTTTGAGTGTGCCTCTTTTGAGCGTAGCAATGGCTTGGACTGTGACAAATCTTATCCACAACTTGGTATGGTTTATGTTTTGACTGCGCTCTTTCTCCTATGATAAGAACTCTTTTATTTTTACCAGTTATCTGTGAACTAATATTTCTTGCTTTCCTTCAGAGTCACCTCATATTTTTACATTCACTGAAGGGAGCTCCATGGATTCCTCAAGATCAAGGTGATTGCCGCAGCCTGACACATTGGGAGCAAATAGACGATGGCGCTCAATTCACTAAAACACGGAAGTTCCTGTTTGCGGCTCCAATTGTGCTGTAAGTATGTTTAAGCATCCATTCTTTCATGCTATTTAAATATCCAATTTGTCACTTACTCAAGTTTTTTTTTTTTTTTTTTTTGTTACAGGTTTCTATTGACATGTTTTTACACCAAAAATGATACAAGTCATTTTGTTGTTAATTTGGTATCTCTTGTCATTGTCATTGTACCCAAGTTGCCTCAACTTCATGAAGTCCGCATATTTGGAATTAACAAGTATTGAAACTGCTTCCTAACTAGTTTTGAAACGTTTGTCTACCATGCAAAACTACAGTTACATCTAACAAAAAATATTTAAATCCATTTGCTGTGCTATGGTTGTGTCAAGTTGTACTTTAGTACATCTACTTTAAGGCTTTTTGAGGAAACGAAGTAATATAATAAGCTGTAATCAGTTAAAGAGATATAAGCCATTAAGAAATAATTACAAGGAATATGTATGTTTTAGATTGTTGATGTGCCAATATTTCTTAAATGGAAAGTGCAAACTGCCAAATTGTTCCAGTTTTCCAAACATCAAGAATGTTGAAAATTGCGTTACTGAGGAAAAGTCTGCTTTTTTATTTGTACCAATAATATTGATTGATTGATTGTTAGTTTTTGTGAAACTCATGCAATTTTTATGTAAATACTTGATTTTTAACTAGTCGCCGTCAATTTGCTTAAACGTTTTTTTATAAGCTGTAAGAAAATTGTACACCATAATTTTGATGTGCTACATCTTACTGTGTTATTTTGATTATATTCTTATAAAGTTTTTCTGTTTCATTTTGTAATCTTTTATTTATCAGGATCATGTCTTTT